CTGGGAAAGTAGCTAAGAGAGGTCTCCACGTCTTTCATTGCATGCACGTGTTGGGGACCTGGGGTGTTCAGAGAGTAGTGTTGCCCTAAACCAGCTCAGAGGAAAGGCACCGTCTTGTCGAAAGCACTGTCATTGCTATCATTTGGTCCTGCCTCTACCCCAAGCCCTTTCTAATTCCCCAGCTCCTCTCGATCTCTTCCTACAACATGCCCACCGCCATCTCAAGAACCACCTTCCCTGCACCTCTTGTGCCTGAAACGTGCCTCGAACCTTGGCTGTGGTGGACATCTGTCACCGATGCTCCAGTCGGCACGCCGGCACCTACCTCCCACCCCCTGGTGTTTGTGCCTGAAAGCTTGCATGTGACTTCTGCCGTGTGACTTGTGTGTGATTTCTCTCTGGAGAAGCTCTTCCTAATAAAATTTGTCTGAGTGGGGCTGTCTTACTTTTGTGTTGTGCAGAAGTCAGACACATCAGCTTTGGGCTTTGCTGGAGAAAGCAGCCCGGCCAGGTTGGAAACATCAAAGACAGTGGTTTGGGTCTGAGCCTTTTGCCCTGTAATAAGGTGCTCATACATCCCTCGCCTAAAGCACAGGCCAGGGGCTTTACTGAAGCAGGCTTTGCTTTCAGAAATAGATCTTTTTTGCATTTGAGAAACATCAACCAGCTCTTGTGTCAAGGAGATGGGAAGCAGGAGATCTCTCCAACCTGTTCACTCAAGGACCGAATACACTGATATGAATCCTTCATCGGTCCTTTTACCCTGTTTGAAGTTGTCTTCCTCCATGAATGATAGGATTCCCCGTAACACTCAGGTTTGCTTCCACTCTGTGTTGGCCATCACCATTTCCACCCTGTCCACACAAATGCATTCGTCTTGACCGCACGCGCTAGCTGGGCAGGGCAGGGTGTGAGTGATTGACCTGCGCTGTGCAGTGGTTGGACCTGCCTGTTTTGTCCTATACATTTCATCGGTGGCAACAGGAGCAGAGATCTGCTTGTTTTATTTGTGCAGGCACAAGGAGTTTCCCTTGGGATACCCTATCACACCCCAGGGGGGATGGCAGGCTTTGCACTGATGGGTCATTGGGCACCTATAGCCCTCACCACGCCCAGCACCTCCGATATGGTTTGTGAGAGGTGTGTGAATATGTTGATTTTGCATGTGTGAATCTTAAGTTATTCTTCTGTTGAATGTCCTAATGCTAATGATGGTATAGTTTTATTTTATGTTCACAATATAGTCCATGCATGCCAGCCTGGAAGCACTCTTTCCCATACTTAGAATCACCGAATCCTAGAAAATGAGGGTTGAAGGGACCTCGGGAGCTCACATCTACTCCAACCCCCTGCTCAAATCAGGACCAGCCCCAACTACATCATCCCAGGCGAGGTTTTGTCTTGCCATGTCTTAAAACCTCCAAGGATGGGGACTCCACCATGTCTTTGGGAACCTGTGGCTGTTACTTATGTGTGAATAACTTGGATGGACTTCATAGTTCGACTCTTCTTTTGGTGCAAGTCCTCCCCTCTCCAAGTTCGAGTCATAGGGAAGTAGGGCTAGGAGGGACCTCCAGAGGACATCTAGTCCAACCCCAGGTTTGAGGCAGGACCATCCCTATCCAAACCATCCCATTCAACCAATAATCTAGACTCTACATAAGACGACCCTCAACCCTGACACCTCATAGACCTAATACCCTAACCTGCCACAGGTAAAGCAAGGGGGACCGTGTTAGCTAATATCCTGCCTCTATAACATGCAGTCAATATACATGCAAGAGGTCTCAAGGGTACACCAACAGCAAATAAGATCCCATCTGAATCTCCACTCTGGAAAGAAGAAACTAAACAAGCCATGCAGGGATGCTCTGATAGCCATGGAAAGCCCTGCCAGAGTGCTGTGCTGGACCACGAGCATCGACGCCTGGCGCCTGGGATGAGACAGCCCTACCCAAAGAGGGAGAAGTTTGAGGACCTCAAGAAGCTGACCAGAAATGATTGAACGTGGTTTAGTTTGGCCTAAACCTAGGGGTCTTGAGAACCTAGCTTGTTCTGAGCCCATGCAGAAAATACTCATTTGATGAATATTTCCTCCCCCTGTGACCAGGGGCTGGGAGATAATCCAGGGAGACAAGCTGAGATAGCTCAAGTCAAAACAGATGACGGCAACCATCCACCTCATGCCCAGCACCACTGTGATGGCACTGAGTATCCCATCCTGACACACCCTCTTGCCCCTCCTCATTTAATTGGTACCTCTGCTTGCTCCAAGTTTCACTGCCGTGCCCACTGGGGAGCACCAAATTACCAGCTTGTGTCACAGGCTCTAAAAGCAGCTCTATTTGCGTGTCCAAAAAGAGCAGATGCTGGAAAAAGTGACACCCACACCTAATGACATGTATATTTTTATGTGCATTATTGGCTCTAGGAGGGGAGAGAAACTGGAAAACCTGGATATCAGCAGAAAACAAGAAGTTGGAAAGAGAGGGAGATGGAGAAGAGACTGGGGGGATGGCCAGCAGCAGGTCCAACTATAATTTGCAAAGCAATACAGCATGATAAACTGCTCGAGCCATTTTGAGATACTACGGGGACCATGGGTCCCATGATGACCATGATTTAGCAGCCTTCACCTCCCTGCAGGGGGGCTGCAAAGAGGA